ATGTTTTTTGAGATGTGCCAAAAATTCTCATTAAATTCGATAATTTAGAACTGGATGCTGCACTAGGCGCCCCTGGAGATGAAGGGGAAGATGGGGAATTACAAATACTAGCACAGCACTAACCGCTTATTCTAGGCCACTCATTTTAAATTTCGGGACCGGACAAGTTGAAAAACTATATTTTTGAACCTGGTCTTGGCCTGATTCGCTTCAAAGCCCCGTTGCTAGCCTCTGATTTCACTGATCTTGGGCTATGATCTCAAGTTATTGATGACCAAATCTGCATTGTATTTTGGAAACACACGTGTGTCTGCTGTGAATAAAAGTTGTACAAGAAGCATTTTGCTCATGTGAGTCGCTTGATGCGCAGCGATATTTTTAACGCGTTTCCACGCTATTCTGCATCACTCATGAGATTATAAGACGCATATTATTGAACGGTTACATAAAATCGATACTTCTGGTTTGAAAATGGAATTTGCAGGCTCTATACACAATCTTGCATCAACATCAACAGCAGCCGTAACTGGCCCATTGCAAAGCAATGCCTCATCGGCACCACAGTTTGACCCTCATGCAAGTTACGATTCCGAGTACAGTTCGCAAAGCGTCGTTACTGAACGCAGCAGGTCAGTCCAAAACATGTCTTTCATTCTGTTTGATTCTACAGTGTAGCAGTATCGAAGAGCATTGTTCGGCCAAATGCTGTCAATCTGTTAAATTTGTGTGCAGCAAATGACGAACGTTGGGGTATTAAAGGGGATTTAAATGCAGCTGCGACGCGATACATTTTTGGCGTTCCCTGCTGACAACTCTTTTTGGATGTCTACTTTTTGCCAATTAATCTAAAGATAATTTTTCAAAGCTATGTACATTTGTAGTTTGCGCAACCGACCCCATGTCCTTGCGATAGCTTAAGTAAGTGCTCCAAAACACTGACTGAGCAGCAGAGTAACAAAAACAGTTCTACCTTACCATAGTGATTTTTTGCTTCCTTTGGCGCGTTTCAGTCTCTGTAGTGGTTCTCTGTAAAATACGGTAGCACTCGGGAAGCAACCTAAATGGTAGCAAATGCTAACCGCAACCATCCACTGAGGAGGCTATTGCCAGTTTCGAGGGTTCCTTACAAGCTAGCTGATGGAGGGTTTGTTCCCTGATATATCAGTACCAATTTACTATCAGAACGAATGAACGAATCGTAGAGAGACTGGTTTTCTCACCGATGATTTTAAAAGTTGGACTTATTGTATGACAACAGTACTACTTCCCTTTGCTGACATTCAAAAAGCACTAAAATTCGAATTCATGATTTGGTAGTCACTAAAACTCGGCTCGGCTCGGCTTGGCTTGCCCTCGGCTACCTCGGCCGCACCTCGGCCGCCTCAGCCACACCTCGGCCACCTCGGCTCGCCTCGGCTCGCCTCGGCTGGCCCCTGGCAACGGCATTATCATGAAGCATAGAGTGAGAGGGCGGGACGGGGAGGTGAGGAGACAGGCAGGAGAAGGAGGGAAGAGGCGACGGGGAGAACGTTGGCAGGGGGGACGGGGAGAGGAAAGGGCAGTGAGGACGGATGGGAAAGACGGGAATGGGGCGAACCGGGAAGAGGGGGGAGCAAGGATAGGGAAAAGTACAGGGAGGGGTGGACAGGGGGACTGCTGCGGGAGAACGGCGACCGCGGAGTCGGAGACATTGGGGAAGGGGTGCTGGGGTGAGTTAACTGGGAACGTGGCGTGGCAACGTAGGGGAGAGGGGGTGATAAGCGGGCGGGAGAAGGGTCCGTGTGCTGATTTTTCCGCAAATGCTGGGGT